GTTTTTATTGGTCTTGTTAAACGACGCTATGAGGACCTACAAAACACAGTGATTTATGTGAGAGATTTTCAGCTGTTTTTGGCTCGGACTCACCTGTTTAGTCGTCAGAGGCGCATTACATGGCCACATACCAGGTTGACGACAGACATGCAATACCACTTGTGCTTTTTGACGCTAAGGCAAAGGGTGAATAATGCAATATTAACGACTTCCATGTGCCTCATGCCGGGCTTTATCACACAAATGGATCGGGTTTAAGGGCAAAACAAGAACTAAGCTACAACAGGAAGCTTTGACTAATGCATGCGCCAACCGAACTTGCTTTTGGAGAATGTACATCAACGGCGAAGGACGATGTGGTCCATGGATGAACTATGCAGGGTGGCCATGTTTGTGTGGTGGTTTTCGGTTTCAGTGACAAAACAAACTCATCAGGAAATACTGCTTGCAGATGAGCAATATGAAGAGATTCAGAGTGTTTGAGCATTCGCTGTTTACTCACACACATAACCACAATGACATCGTGTATACAACAGCCAGCGGGTTCACAGCTTCCCATGTTTGAAGCCCTGAAAGCCGATGGCCCCACACGTCAAGAGACAAAAAACAGATGTAAATTCATGAATATGATTTTTTTGTGGGCTACAAAATATCCATTAGTTCTTCAAGAGCGAGAGTAAGGAAGGCAGAATTTGTTGGTCTACTGTGGCATTCCTTGCATTTGAAGAAAAAGCGTAACCTGATGAATGGCATCACTGCAGTTTATCACACTTGTGGACTTCAAACACATAATTCCGCAGTGTCATGGCGTCTTACCGTGTGTCAAAGTTGCTTCACCCACGCCACCGCACAAGCAGCTGAACACAAGCGCCCTACTCTCGCCGGTTCCCTTGAGCTGAGGACCAGTGGTCAATCACAAACATCTATGATTCAAGAATGCATATTGAAATAGAACATCATTCTGTCATTTCAAATCATGTTTTTTCTTTTAGTCACTTTGTCTATAATTATGTACCATTAAGGGCGTGTTCACTTTCAGTGGATCAAGTCTGGTTCATTCAGGGCAATTTTATTATTTTTTTCTGGATGTGAAACCACCACACAAGTCAACATGTGTCCACTATAGCCACTTATATCAGTTAAATCTTTTGAAACTGATCAGTGAAGCATTTTTTCCCTCACAGTGTCCAGTTAAAGTGTGAATGCGCCATAAACCTGTTCAAAATGTACTTATTACAACTATGTGATTACAGATCGGAATCCAAATCAGTGCTCTGTGATCCGAACAAGGCTAGGACAGGAAATGGTAGTCCTAAGATCTTTGAGTAATTGTAAGCTTGTGTCGAAAGCATTGTTTTTCCTTTGATTAGGCCTCTATTCTAAAAGACGTAGCTGCCGGGGCCATATGCTAGTTTAATAGGTAAGTGTATGGAAGTCCAAGACAAAGACTCAGCTAGCGGCACCTCAGTCCCAAGGATCCACAATGGCGTCCTACTGTGGCCAGTTGCCCGTTTGTTCACACAACGTAAAGTGTGATCTGTGGAAATTGGACGGTTTATAATAATACGCTCAGTCATCCATAGCGCTGCCCCCCGGGTCACACAGAATGTAAAGGGTCATTGTGGTCTGAAAGGGTTTAAGTAAACTCCTCAGAGACAGATCATGATGTCTCAACTCCTCTGCTATACACTAGATTGGAACCGTTACATCATGATATACACTTATAATTATAGTTTTACTTGTGGGAAAATTGATGAATGAAATACGAATAGCAATGACATTGTAATAATAAACATATTGCTTGCCGAAGGATACTCAGGCCTAGTTCACTCTCTCTATCTCCCGATGGCTGACAAATTAATAGAACACTACTGTGCAGTTTATTTACAACCTTTGTTAACATAGTTTTTTGAAATTATTTGAAAACATTTAATCGAAATTTTAATCTAAACGTGTAACTAAGAATTGACTTAATAAGAATCCAGTATTAATGGGTAGCTCCACCAATTGATTAACCATTACAATATTGATAGATACAAAACAAGCATAGGAAGCGTTTTTGCTCCCTGCTGCGAACAGCCTGAGGTCAAGACATCTGCTAAACCTGAGAATCTTCAGAGGAACCAGGTTTGTAAGTAATTTACAGTCACGGTCAAAACAGTATGCGATGATGCTCTTTGTGGGTACTGTAAGAAATGGAGCTGACAGAGAACAGGAGATGCCCCCTGGTGTGAGACCTCCCGAACACATGCACCACATGGGAGACAGACGACGTGCAATGTTAGCCAGCTCCAATCAGGCATAGCACAGGTGGCAGAGGCATGTAATGGGAATCACACATTTAAATGTAACACCCAAATCACCAGAATCAAAGCACCAAAGAATCCAAGCACAACTAGGGCACCTGCTTTAAAGCTATTTTTAACATCCAAATCACAACAAATTAAATGATGTAATAAAATCCTTGGTCCAAGCTCTAGTTTGATTCTACACTAGTTTTCATAAACATGCCTATTTGGCCTCTGTCACATCTTTAGATCAGACAAAATAGTGAAAAAGAGAGGACCACCCACACTCAGCCAATCATCTCTCAGCCTTAAGCATCTATCTTACAAGCATGCAAAAATAATACATGTTTCTACTAAGAAGACAACGAGAGTATATTGAGGTCTGATTTGTCTTTCTACAGGAACATGTATCATCTATGAAAAATATAAAGTTAGGTTCCCCCGCTTTAGTTGTGTGTGTCCAACAGTCTGTTTCCATGATGTTAGTGCTTTGCCACTAATGTGAAAAATGTGAGGTTTATTGCCATCGAACATGCAGGCAAAGCAACAGCACCAAGATAAATGTGACTTAAGAAAAGAGGCTTTTTATTCCGGGAAATATGCAGCCCACAAAGTTGTTAATGTTAGAAGCAAAGACAAAGAGACAATTAACCACTGTTGCCAAGTTTTGCTTATGTAACCCTCCTACTTTGGCCATTCACCTCGACAGATGAAAGTTGCAAAATAAGACAGTGTCCCACGAGATGTCGGCTCACAGACTGAGACCATTAACAGCGTGCTTTGACTTATTTGTTAGTCTTTTGAGAATAGATTACTTCCATTTGTGTTTTTACAAGTTTGTCAAGCTTGCATAGTTTTAGGGAGAATATATTCTTCTCTTCAATATAGGAAGGGGGGGTTTAAATGATCCACCAAAACAGAAAACGTACCCAGTCAGAACAGAAGGAAATGTAAAAAGATCAGGGAAACGTTATCTTCCCTTATGCAGCATCATGTTCTTTATCTGTTTATCTGCATCTGATTCTTATATACAGTATTTACCACAGCCTGAAGATGTGTTTAATCTGCTCTAATATACTTTTGTTTTAAAACACCAAAGTATTAGTATCAGTATCAGTATTAGTAGAACTAGAGAGAGGGGCTACTTTCCTGTCTTCACGAAGAGTCAGATGCTCTCGAGGTCTGTGAGAGAAGTCAATATGTTCTTTCAGCTGTCAACAGCATTCCCTGCACTCGTCTCGAGCCGTCTGCCTGGTTGACATAGCAACATCTCAAACACCATTGAGTTTATGTCGACAGGAATAAAACAGCATAAATACAATCGCTGACCATTAGGCCTACATGTTGATTAATGCTCTGTTCAAACTTTTAACAACACTTCGATATGTCAAAACATTGGAACATCCATAATATCTATAGAGAATGGATCGTAAGCTGAATATGGTTATTTTTTTGGATGTCTTATGAATTAGAGTGCTATCTGTGAACCAAACCCTCTTGTGGCCCAAAGAGGCTACTGAGACAATTATCTGAAGACTCCAGCTTGCCACTTGTGGCATAGTTTAACTAAAAAAAGAAAAATAACTAACTTTCACACAACAGAGGCAGTACCTGCTCATAAACTGGTTCGGGATAAAAGTCAAATGCTGCTTCACATCTGTATCCCGTTACTACAGAGTCCTGCGGCCACAGCGACGCGCACGCGCCCTGCACGCACATAGTCAGAGAGGAACCTTTCCCGTGGAGGTGATTCCTGAATGAAACAAAACACAACCCCTGCTCAAACATGACCTCACGTGCTTGTTGATTTAATCCTTATTTACTTTTCAAAGATACGTGCGCGTAACCATCGCGGCGTACAGAACATGTTACATTAACGCAACGACAATGGAACATATTAGTCATTAAATGGTAGCGTCCTTTCATCACCTGCAGATAGAGATTAGAAAGTAGAATACGGATACAATACAAATGTAGACACATTTAAAACTAATATTGTGAAAACATCAAACTGTTTTCTCGCTCTCAAAACAATTTGGTTCTATCTTTTGTTTAGTAATATTCAGGCAATTTTGTCCTCTGTCAAACCACATTTTTATATTTGCCTTTTTCAGACAGAAACGTGAAAAAGAGAGGACCACTCTCACGCCAAGTCTGGGACTGACAGGGCTCAGTCTTGACTAAAATATGACTTGGTGAGGACATATTGTGGTCGGATTTGTTCTCGACATTTCACTTAAACAAGACAATAATCATGAATTATTTATAAGGGAAAAGAGATAGGTTTCCAACGTTTATGACACGATTTGAAGCACTTACCGGGGTCCTGTTGGTGGGGGTCGTTAGCTCTATGCATATTAATTGAACGTAGTCACATGCGTGAAAACGGAAAAGAGCTTCTGCAAAATAAAACACCACAGTCCACATTGTCTAAGTGATTCAAAACAACCCCACTGATAATTGAGTGTATTTAGTTTTACAAAGATACCTGGGTTTATTCTTCAGGAAGTGACCGCGAAAACCTTGGAGTTCTGAGACCTTTGTTAAGAGAATCTTTTATTTTTAAGAAAACCGGAAGTGATGCGAATTCTCTCCGGGTTTTGACTTTTGGCTGGGCGTAATTTAACACTCCAGCAGCGCGCCGTCTGTCACAGTTCCTCTGGACTTAACTGAGAACACATCAAACAGCGCTGACATTGGTATTAACGCGGGATGGATGTGAAGCTTTTAGCAGTCCTGGCTGCGCTTATGTTATTGGCATGTGCACCACAATCAGAAGGTAAGAGAATAATCATTTATTTTTTTTCTATTCACAAGCTGATAATTTTTTATTTAACATGAAAAGACAATACAATTAAAACCGTTTAAAGACAGTGCTATATATGTCAATTTACATTCTGTTTAATTATCAACTTAATAGGCCAACCACTTGTGAGGGCTTCTCTCAACAAACTTAAGATTTTTTAAAGTTATTCCAATTCCATTTTGATATTCCACATTTGCATAAGTGTTGCAGTTGTTGCTTGAGGGTCTCTGGAGTCAGAGCAGGCACATCTCCGTGCGTAAAAGCGCACACATTGGCAGTGCGCTTGTCTGGAACGCCGTGCGTTAAGTGTGCATTTTCTGCTTTTCTCTTTACAAGATGCGCTGAAGAGGCTGACTTCAGTACAACTAGTTTGCATGGCGACAGCGCACACCTGATCACTTAACTTGAGGTGCTTCGGTCTTTATTATGTTAATATGGGTGAACAAGGGCAAAATGATTTAACATTGGGAGCGCATCCTCTGAGCCTGATCGGTGTAATGTGACGTTACAGCGTTGGTTTTTCCCCTCTCTCTTCATTTAGATAAAAAAAAAAAAACTACTAAGATGCTGTGGTTTTCTTGTAATAAACGTGAACAAAATAGGGCAATACGAAATAAAACTGTGGGGTTTAGTGTTCGTATATGTTGAACACATGGGAACCACATGGTCCATTGGAAAATCCTTGCTCTTTTGTATTTAAAACATCTGTTGTATATGGCAAATTATTTAGAGGCTATGTCTGTTTTGGACATTGTGACTTGATTTTCCATAAAATTTTGTGGTGAGGTTTGTGGCCTTGCTTGAAACTATAAGTTTAATGTGTTTAGTTGTTGTCTTTCACTTAGATGCTGTTATTTCTATTAGGACTCAAATCTTAATCTGTTTACCCTCTTTCCAGGAAAGCCCATCAGCCTGGTGGAGAGATGTTACTGCCGCTCCACAGTCAACAACCTCCCCAGGTCCTACATCAGGGAGCTGCGGTTTATCCAGACGCCCAACTGCCCCTTCCAAGTGATGTGAGTGCAACTTTCATTAAACACACTTCTACTGCCTAATTACACACATGTACACTCGGTTTGTCAGCTTCCCTCCTTCCTGGATACTTCACACCATCAATCTCCACACGCTGACAGGTTGAGAAAAGCATCTTTAGCAACACGCCCCTTCTGACACTCACAGATTCCAAGAAAACACAAACTTTTGTCTCCTTAAAAAGAAAGCACAAAACTAGACGGATCCGGGAAGTGGCGTTTCTTAGTGGAATGAAAGGAAGGTGGATTTTGTGAGCCCTTTTTAAAGAGGGAAAGAATAGTTGTGGTCTTTGTGATTGCACTGTTGGTTTCATGTTTCTTGCGTTACAATTCAGACTTAATTCAATGTTACAGCATGTGCGTGGTAACTTTATAGAGCGAGGTCTGTATTTAGTTAAATGAGACAGGAAGGCACGCCGATTTCAGAAGAAGAAATGTTAAATATATTTGTAGCATTTGTCATAAAATCCAGTTTACTATGGTGATCACCTTCCACTGATATTGAGACATGATCTGGCCTTGACCTTTACTGGGAATAGCCACGAGGTTACATTGATAGAGAGACCATGTTTCTGTGATGGAAAAAATTTACAGTCCATCAATTTGGCATCACGATTAAGAATGGCATGCTGAACTAACATGTAACCCAAAGCACATTTTTGGAGGAGGGGGTGTAAGTGGTCCTCAAAAACAAATAGACTGCTGTGAAGTTATCACTAGTGTTAAAATCTCAGTGTTGTGTCAAGTCAAGCTTGTGTGATAAGAAAGTGTCGGAAAAGCGGATGGCCCTGGTCTTTGCATACTAAATAGCCCTTTCATCTTGTGCTGTAGCATAACTGCCAAAAGCTCATCTATTTTCTTTTTATTTCTTTATCAGCGCAAAATTGAAGTCAAACAAAGAGGTGTGCGTGAACCCTGAAATTCGGTGGCTGCAGCAATACCTGAAGAATGCTATCAACAAGTAAGTGCTTTCAAGCTTTGGTTTCAATTGCAAAAAGTGAAATGAAAAAAGTCTAACTTAGCCTTCACAAACTCACTGGTATAAACATGAATAATTGTTGGGCCTTCATCACAGCTTTAGTACAGCTTTTTTACACAGAAACGTAAGTAGGGAAAACCACCTTCTCTCGGTTCTCAGCCTGAGGCATCATTCAGTCACACATGGGGCTCTTTCTTACAAGTTAACAATAGCTACAAACATCTCCTATTACGCTCTGTAGGGGAAAACTGTTCAATTCTACACAAATAGTTAAGTACCCTACCTTTAAGTGTATGTACCTCCAATGTGTCCCATCAACTGGCCTGTCTCTGACCTGCTGCTAAGGCTCCCACCCCATAGACTTTCAAATACACAAATATGCTTTACACCTGCAAATGCACATGTGAAGTGTCTGTTAGTACTGAGACCAGCAATAAGTGCCCAATTCCAATCTCGAATTGAGCCTTGACCAAGTCGAGACAGATTTTATCCAATTGTCAAGTGCCTGTAGCATTCTCCAGAAGTCACTGTTAAAGTAGAAGCAAGAGCAGAAGCTCTGTTTAAAAATACTTGGCACTGTAAAGTTTATAGAAGGATCCAAGTTTCCATCGTGAAGTTCATGGAGTCATTTCTCGTTGTAAATAATTGTGGAGCGGTTTTCAGATAATTCTATGAACCTTTTGATTAGATTTTGATTATTGATTTGGAGAAAATCTGGTTTCTTCAATGTCAGAGAATGCCCAGACGTGTCCCTGAATACCCACAGAATGTCCTCTGGGGCCTGCAGTCGATCCGTCTGGCTCTGGAACGGTTGTGGAGTCCTTTGGGTGTGAATGTCTAATGCATAACAAAACAGGCCATGTAGTAAAGTAGATGGAGGGCATTAAGAATGGATCAGACCTAATGTGCTTTCAATTACGCAGCGGTTTACAAAGAGAGGAGGGTTGTGCTCGTTCACCAGGTGTAAAAAATATCACTCCAGAAAACTACACATTTTGTCTTTTGTATGTTTTATCAACTCTTAATGGACACAACAATGCATAGTTATGGCCAATCTGACTTATAAAGTAACTGACTAAGTATGCAAGGTGAGAAAGTAATTATCTTTTAACACATTTCTCACCAAATTCGACAGATTTGTTTTGCAGTTTGAAGGTTAGAGCAATATTATTATTATCATAGTGAATACTGTTTTTAAAATGACAAATTTGACTAGTCGAGAAAAACAACCATTCATCCTTTTTATTCCGCTTTATCCAGGACCAAGTTGCAGAAACAGCAGTCTGAGGAGAGATGCCTCGACTTCCCTATAATTACATTTCCTCCAGCTCAAATATATATATCCAAATATGGAAAAGCAAGCTAATTATTGTTGCAACCTTTCAAAGACATTTCCAAGAGATATCATATTATGGTATAAATTAGAGACAAGTTTCAAAGAGAGACTAGATAGATGTTATTACGTTAGAGCAATAGTAGCAGAAATCAGAAAACGCTTTTTACACAATATGCAAAACCAAACGTTACATGAACCTGCTGAGTAATGTCACTATGTTTTGTTTCTTACAGGATGAAGAAATCCAAACAGGCTGCTTAAACCTGTTGTGAGCCCACGAGTTCCCCCTGGACTGAGGGCACGTTCACAATAATGAAGCCTGTTTAATAATGGTATATATCTTGTACAGCACTTATTCTGGCTGTGAGGCTGCGGCGTTGTGGAAAACTAACCTACAAATCAGCGTCATTATGTCACCTGGCTGCCAAGACTGTGGGCACTATCACCTCTTATAATTATATAACATTAATCGTGCAATTGTATAAGTGTTTGTTGGTTTTCTAATTTTACTGTATATAGTTTTGTTAATTGACTTCACCAGTAAAGAGCTATTTTTGATATGATGTTGTTCTGGCCTCTGTCATTAAGGAGCGATGTGAGGTGATTCTAGGTCAGTATGAAAGTGGTTACCCCTGCAGTTAACTGAGCCAGGAAAATACATCTTAGAATATCATTGTTGTCTTCCATTCTGAAAAAAGTTGGTTGTTTACAAAGTAGTTCCTAGATGTTTTGACGAAATTGACATCTTCCTCGCTAACTTTAGCCTGATTGTCAGAAGTGTACACAGACTCCAGTAAAAATGACAATTACAATGTGTTTTGTGATGGAAATGTGGATGCCAAGAGAGCTGGGGCATTTCCTGAGCCTCTCTGTGGCTTGGAGTGAGCAGGCCTTTCTACGCAGCACTGAACATCTGGATCTGTAAGGATTTTAATTGAGCGGCCAATATATCGCAATTTACTGGAATCGTTAAAATGGTCATCTGGGCAAGAATAATCACATCGGTGCAAATGAATGAACGGCAAAACTTTTAAAAGAAGCAGCGCAGCAATTGGCCACCAGGAGAATAGTACATCTGATTTGTACATATAATGGACTACCTACTGTCTTGCAGATAGCGATGCACTTTATGTGATGTATTCTTGTGCTAACTTTGTGTAATTAAACTGTCTATGTCCTTATGTATTCTCTACTTTTTCCCAAAATATTCCTAATTGAATGTAAAGTTGCTGTATTGACAGATGTCGCTGATTAATTTCTAATCGTATGTGCATTGCATGTGAAATCATAATTATCTTCATGTTTATTTTTGTACTTTACTGCATTTATGAAATCAAAACATTAAAATGAAGGAATGTACTCTTACGTCTAACCACATGCTAAAACTCTATTTGAGTATGGCACATACTTTGTTTTATCATACCCTGCAGCTCTGCGGATGTATAGAGTAGGATTTTTTTTGGCCAACCAGCACATAGTGTTACAGTACGACCAGAACAGCCAATCTTCAAGACTTTGAAGGGAGAACATGTGTTTAGCTTTACTCACGGCAAATAAAAGCCAAGGACAATGATCCTGTCTGTGATTTAACTATTAACTCAACAAGCAGCCATTAGGAAAACATTAGGGCTAAACGGGTTGAACTTTTAGCTCCCCTCCGAGTGTTCAGAGGCACGTCTTTGCGATGAGTGGGGGTCTGAGGATAGAAACATTACAGAGATAAAGGAGTGAGCCAGCAGTGATTATGCACCGAGTGTAACCTTGAAGACTGGTTTAATTGTGATGAAAGCAGTAGCTGATTGGTATCAAAGCATGCAGAAAGGAACCTTTTTTATGCATGAGGTTATAGAGAAAACACAACCAATATAATGTTTGTAAATCTTATCAGAGCAGAAAATGTATCAGTATATTGTACTTAATAAAAAATATATTATAACAATTCGGTAGTCTGTGGTTGTATACGTGGGGTGCAAAAGTTTGGACACCTTGGGTGAAAATGTACGCAAATGTAGTAGGGCTCCTACAATGTCTGTTTGTTTTATCAACGTATCCCTTCCCGTTAATATTCTTTAAAATCTTATTCACCATAAATTCTGCTTAATTAACAATAAAAATCAATGAACTGTAGGCAGGCATTGTATTTTGTGTGTAGCACGTCAGTGTGCCTTTGAAAATGTTCCAATATCACCCAGTTGGTCATAATTATGTGAAAAGAAAATATTGAGAGAAAGACACTTTTGCCTGTTTTATATTCTTTGTCCATGAGAATGTTAAAAAAGGCTCAATGGAAACTGTATGCCACTGCTCAAAGGTTTTGGGAAGAACTGGTAAGGGAAACCAAAAATCTGTCATGAATATGAAAATAAAAAAATACTTGGTTAGGATAAAAACCATTGCATTTGTAATAAGACGATGTGGAATGTCTGCAAACATATGAAAATCATATCTAGGCCAAATGTCTGGGTTTGTGTTCTACCACATCGTCAGACCAAAGAGCCGACACCTCGTCAGATTAATATGGATTTGTCAAGAGGAACAATGCATGGCACAGAGAGAAAAAGCATTGTGCTTCTAACCCACGATTGTAAGGCTCCCAGATGTGCAGACAATCAAGGTCCAGTTTGTGGCTTTTCATCATAAATGCTGAAAATGAATGTTTAAAACTTGAGGGTGGTATTTGTTTTAGTGACAACAAGAAAACGAACACACACATTTACGATCAGACTGATCATCTTCAAGATGATGGTCATAAAAATATCTATAAATCACTCATTTTTTCATGAACTTGATCTCACTTGTGCAGTGGAATAAGCGAACTAGGAGCTTGTCTGCAAAGGTTTGTCAGATCAAAATCTGTATTTGACAAGAAGATACTTTTTTCTTTTTAGTTGTTCCTTGTTGATGCAGGAGGATCTAGCGCAGTGATGGTCTGGGACATTTAAGAACATTTATAAAACATTTATGGACATAGGTCATTCAAGTGTTTGTTTTTATTGTGTAGGAACTGTTTGATTCTCTGATCTGTTGGCAAATCAACAACTTCGCAGTCCTCTGAAACGACTACTGTTGTGAATAAGGGCCACACTTAATAAATTGTATAAATAATATACATCATACAAATTATCGACGTACAATAGGTAGGTATTGGTAAGTTATACATTCTGTATTTAGCCTGCACTTGGTGACAGGGCATTGGAGGTCAGAAAAAATGGTTAAAATAGACTCAAAACTTTCAGGTCAGAATGGTTTTCTATATACAGCAAAACATACAAAGTCAAGGAACATTTGCCTTGTTTATCCCATATTGAGTTCACTGCATGTATTGTATATGTGTTTGAAGCCACTAACAAGACTATTGGCAGCTAAACAGGCTCCAATCAGTCACCACCCCACATGTCGAGGGATGTGTGAGAACTGCCCCCGTGTGCCTTTGGCGGTCAGAACCCAGGCATCCCTCAGCGCTGTGGTCAGACAGCAGAGCAGCACAGGGCTGCACTGCCATCTTCAAGAAGCAGGGGAAACCATGGCTTACATTTTGGAGCTATATTCAGAGTTATAGCTTATAGATTTGAAGTTAAGAGAGTACATTTTATCTGACAAATGTAAACTTACTAAAGCGAGTTTGGACCGCAGTTTAGTCTACGCTCTGTAATGATGAGTGATTGTGTAAAGAAAACATACAGTAGTGGGAAAATCCTTGTTCAATTTCAGAAACCACCAGGTTTTTATTGAACATATTTAAACTGATGTGACACAAAATTCTGATTGTCCAGAATTTTGTCAAAGTTGTATTAATCTTACACAAATAATTCAAAAGGAAAATTCATAAATCCATCAGATAGATACATTCTCCACCTACTCCAGTTTAATCATAATAATGCATTTGTGCTGGATCAATACACAGTGTTTTATTATTTTGTTTAGTTACGTGGGGAAAAAACTTAACAGGAAATGCATGATTTATGCATGTGTGAAAATCAAATACCCAAGGTAAACATAACAAAGAGAATGTGTATTTATTGTGGTATGTAATATAGCAAAATATTTACATTTACGGTTATATACTTTGAGAAATATGGGAAATTTACGAGACATCGCCTCAAGGTCTGGAGCTTTAGTAATCCAATCAAATTGAGTGCGTTTTTTGAATGCACTCCGTATTCTTCAGCTTTGTAAATACAGTGATTGTGGTTTTACTAAGTTTTCACCAACAGCCTCCCACTTTTGTTTAAAATGTTTGTCAATGACTTCAGCTTCATGTCAGCACATGAGGTTCAATGACTTGCTGAGAGGTTGTTAGGACATTTCATCTTTAGAGCAATGCTTCCTTCCGTCTTGCCCCAGGTTTTAAAAAGTGCAACATTAACAAACACATTTAGACAGACTCTTTAACTGATGATGAGGATAATTTGACCTTGTTGAAAGGGCAAAAAGAGGAAACTGTTAAGTATACCAATATGCCTCACTGCTTGTAATACAAACAAACACAATAGACCTCTAATGATCCTTTGATTATTTTTCCCTTTCTTCCGGTAAACTAATCTTAAACTGACAAACAAATGTGTCCCAGTGCCTTTTTCTTTGCAGAACACAACATATCAAACGTCTTTGTTCTCTCAAAAACAAGCCCTTTACAGTCATTCTTGGCCTCAGTTCTTACTTCAGCAGTTTAAGCCTTGGGCCTGAGTGGACCCCACTGATTGTTCTCCAGGGGCACATTAACACAGCCGCAGCCGCCTGTGTCAGAGCGCCCTGAGCACGCTGTTTCTCTTAAAACTTTAGCTCATGATTTGTAAATGACTTGTTGATTGCCCCTGTGTAGTTAACTGCATCACACTGTTGCTGACGTGAACTCATTTGTCACAGATATGACTAAATGAATGAGTAGGACGCAGATGTATGACCCGAGTGGAGCCACAAATGGAATTCAAATCAAGAAAAGGTCCAGTACAATCATATTTATGAATTGTATTTGAGAATCTGAAGTATACATATTGAGAATGAGGAGTTGACGTCACGGCACAGAGTCCCCCCTCCCCATCCCCCCTTTGCCGACATATTGGCTGCGCACCGGTGGCGGCAGTACAGTTTGTTTACGTGTGTTGTGAACGCGGTAGTAGCGGAGGTTCTTGCTATTCCGCACTGTTTTATCATGCCTGGAAATAACTGCTGCGTTAAAAACTGCTCCAATACCTCCCACGATGGATATGGAAAACCTAGTAACAACGGGATACAGTTTTTTAGGTTACCGAAATGGAAAA